GTAGTTGGTGAAATCATGAATGTCTCCGGTTATGTAATCAGAAGCACCTGATTCTATTATCCAAGTTCGAAATCTTTCATTATTGGTGAGATAAGAAGATGATATGATACATTGGTGTATCATCAAGCTGATAGGCACATTCAGTTGTGCTAGAAAGAATTCCTTCAATTACTCCAGTTTTTTTTTTTTTTATGAAGGTGCTAGGGTCGGCCAACCCTTTAAAACAAGTAGCGAAATGAGCATTGCTGTCTTGGTCTGTCCACCTTTGTCTAAGTTTCCAATCTGTAGGTTTTCAATGCAGTTTTCAGTACCATCATTTGTGTGACCATATTTCTTGTAATGTTCTTTGGCTTCGACTCATGGGAGCAGTTGTGTGTGTACAAGACAGAGCTTTCAGAGCTAGATAAATCCACGCTTCCTGCTATCATCAGCCATTTCCTACTTTCTTGTCTTCTAACTTCAACAAAGATGTTTCTTTCATAGCTCTAGCTTTTCCTTGATGAAGGGACTAAGGTCGGCCAACCCTTCACAAAAAGTGGTGACATAAGGCTTGGTGTCTTGATCCTTCTTTGTCTTTGGTTGCTCAACCTTGTAAATAACAAACGTACTCTTATTTCTTTAAATTTATATTCAGTATTGCAAGATGATAAGGTACCGTGAAGTAAATATTACTTTCTTTGAAGTTCATTTTAATTATTCTACACTGTAATGATTCTTCTCATAGCCCATCCAACCATAACTTATGTACTTTTTTTATTCATTTTCAATAAATATTTTTAGTTACACGTATCATAGAAGTTTTTTTCATTTCTTGCAGAAAGTAGTTTTTTGAAACCTTGCTAATTGAACTCGGGGAGCATAAGTAGCCAACATTCATAATATCCTCATCACTAATTATGCTAGCAACAGTCATCTACCATTAACCCTATTCGCCTTAATTATTTGATATTTTTTATTTATTATCCGTTATCCTTTCCTATTTTTATTGCCAACCTTTCCAACATACAATACTTGTAATATTCTCCAATGTTTCGGATCTCTCTCCTCGTTATTTGGCTTCCTGTAAGCGAGCAATATATATTTTGATTTGATTTGTTCATTTTTAAAACTTTTCCATGTAAAGATACTACTTAATGAGAATGGAATTTTCTTCTCATGATGGTCATCCCAGCGCTCTTACAGGTGCTTGGAAAATGGTGGTGCAGATATTTTGATGTTCTGCTGCCTGGTGACATTATTAATTTTTTAATCACTTTTCTATTTATTGTTACCACATGATGAGAATAGACTTTTATCTCATGACGGTCATCTGAGCACTCTAACAAGTGCTTATAATGATGAATATTGTCCTATATCTCTGATGGCTTTAGGGATCTATGAGATATCATACAACTTTTCTTTATTTGATGTTTTATGCTCATTTAACCCGTGAGAAACCTTTCATCATGAGGCGTTCTTGAGACTTGATCCCTTTCTAATGATTTATCTAAAAGCCTTTTTTCTTAAAAAATCAATTTTGCCTGAAATTGATCCAGGCCAACCATTTATGATAAGTTTTGATCAAGTCCTATTTAAAACTAGTTGAATCCATTGGAACTAGAATGGATCAGGATAAAAATTTTTGAATGTTGACTAACTATCAAAGCATCCTAAAGCCATTTATTATGAATAACGTTGACTGAAATAGAAGCCAAAATATCAGAATTAACTTTTAAACAGCAAGGCTACTGAAGGTGTGGGCGGTGTAGATATTTTGAAGTTCTGTTTCATATTAGCATTTGTTCATTTTAATCATTTTTCTTTTCCGTTCATAGCTACCACATGGAGCTGTGAGCAGAAAAGAATTCATGTAGTGGGATTAAGGCTTTGTTTTTGTTGTTCATAGCTAACACATGATGAGAAAGGATATTTATCTCATGACGGTCATCTGAGCATTTGTTTCTATGCTAACTCTGATGAATTTCGTCCAATTTCTCTGATGGATTTTGGGAAATGTAGGGTATCATGCAACATTTCTATTTTAGAAAAAAAAAATTATGTAGCCAACCCCACGAGTGGGATTAAGGCTCTGTTGTTATTGTTGTTCATTTAACTGTGCATAACCATTTATCATAATGCATTTCCAGCGAGAAACTGGTTGAATCTTCATTATATCTGTCCTATCTTCATTATATCTGATTTTCCCCTCCTAGGAGTCAACCACTATGAACAGAGAAAATCTGACAAAAGGAGAGCTCTAGAGAGTGCATGTATCATATCGATTGAATGAAAAACTGAAGCTGATCCATGCCTACTGTTTATGATCACAGTTTTGACTGAGATCTATGCAAAACTGGTTGAATCCGTTGGAAGTAGATTGAATCACGATTGAAACTATGGAACTTGACTATAATTTTTAAATATAGCTAAAATCCATCTGCTATAAATAAAAATTACTGGAATTGAAGCCCATGGTACCAAAACTAAAATTTTAAGCAGTTGAAACTACTCTAACCATTTAGTTGGAAGATTTTTCCCTTTTCTGTGTGTGTGGCTGAACTGAAGTCGAGATTACAAACCTTGGTATAATTATTTATGCTTTTCTTGAAATGCTATACCTCTCACCCATCCCCCTCTTGTGTCTCCAGTTCCACCTCATATATATATATATATATTATATTGCTTGGGTTAATCTTGATCGCTGATGTTGTTAATCTTTTATTGGACAGCAGGGTGAAAATAGCAATTAACTATAGTTATCATTAGGGTTATAATCGAGCTTAGTTGAACCGAGTATATCATAATTTGGACTTGGCTTGATGTAATTATAAGTTGTTCATGTTTGGCTTGAACTTGTGTTTAGCTTTTATATATTGTTCAGGCTTGACTTGTTTAAATTTTTTGATGTTTGGACTTGAATTGTACTTGATTTGTTTATGACAAGTGAGAGAGTATTTAAACTAGGTAAAAATTTAAATGAGCTTCTAGATTTTCATATAATAATAAATAATTTTACAAATTTGATCTCAGCTATTAATTTATTGATTATAAACTTTAAACCCTAAGACATCTTAAATATTGTCCCTATACTATTTTGCCCTAAATTCCTCAATTAGGGGTTGTTTAGTAGAATGATTTGTAGTAGTTAAGCATGATTGAACACCAAACAACTAAAAATGAGAAACTCTCAAACTTATAGAAACTTAATAGTATTTATATATCAAATATAATACTAGCTATCAAGAAACACATTAATATTCTAGTTAATTAAATTATATTTAAATAACATATCACATATGATATGAGCTATCATTAAGCTTAATATAAACTATTTAATAAGTTATTCATTGAACAACAAACAATTTTGTTCGTGAACATAAATGAACAAGTTCGACTATTTTCATGTTTAGTTCATTTAAGCTACGAGCTTTTAAAAATTGTTCAAGTTCTTTATTTACTGATTTGAACGAACATGAATGAGTCTTAATTGAGCCTAGTTCGAGTTGTTCATCGAATGCATTGGTTCATTTACAGCCCTAGTTATCGTCATCTGTATCCTTACCGATCTAATGAATCTGTAATTCCTTGTTGTATTATATGAGGTGTTGGCTTTATTTTGGACCTGAATTCTTTCTTGAGTAAAACATAAGGTATTTTGAATTTTTTTTATTAATTTCTCCGTTTTCTTTTCTTTTTCTACAGTATTATAGCCTTTCTTTTTGTTTTTCATGTATATGCTAGTTTAGTCTTTCATTCTGTGTTGATTTCTTTAATATTTATTTTATTTGATAGTTTCAGCTTGAGTTTACTGTTCTTAACATGGATTCTATATTGTTTATCAACTATGAGTAAAACCTGTGATGTGCATGCATAATCAGTGTTAGAATGATTTATAGGTTTATGTCAGAACATTATAGAGTTTGTATTTTTTTATGTTTTGCATTGATGTTTTTTCACGACTCACTTTTTTTTAATAAAAAAAGAATAAACGTAGCAGATAAATTTAATGTAGCTTAAACAACTTGCTATTCCGATTGTATTGCTGCTTGATGCAATAAGTCTGACTGAGGCGTTTCCGCTCTTGTGCCACATGTGAAATGGTCTTTTTTTTGTTTATATATTTTATCAGAATGTAATCTTTTAAATTAGTTATTCTTGTAGTTCAAGAGAAGTCTTTTTTTTTATTTTTTTTATTTTTGAGGGTGTCATCACCCAAATTTGTTCCAAGCATATAGTACAAAAAAAGCCTCAAATTTTGTGGTAATTTCAGACAGACCTTCTAATTTAGTGATTGTTTACAAACTAACACCGCGTTGTCCATTATTGAAATTGCCAATCAATTAAAATTAATAAGGTGGTCTTGGCCATAGTTTTTGCTTCTGTCAAATTCTCCACACTTTGATGTTTGCACGTGTAAATAAATTTGTTCTTCTGGTTCATTTTTTTCTGGAATGGTAGCGCCTGTGACTCGGGTAGATTTTAGTGGCATTTGAATAAATATCCTTTTTCTTTTTCCGATCAAGTAATACTTCTTGTTGGATAATTATGAGCTTTTCTTGTCCGATATATCTAATATGTGGACTTGGGATTGATCTTTCGTTTAAGTATTGTCCCAAGTCATGTGTTGTGTTTCTTTCTTAAGTTCTTGCAGTTTGTGAATGTCTGGCATGGAATTTGCTTGTATATTGAGAATGAAAACTGAATTGTTTAATGAAAAAGGTTGACAAGGTTTTTTTTTTTTTTTGAAAGTCTGTTTTGTTTGTTTGACGATTAATCCAGACCTCTCAGTTCAGTCATGAGGATTATGGGATCCTTTAAACTTTTCTGATTCTTTAACTATTTAGTTTGCTAATGTTTAGTTGTAATTCTGCACTGTCTGGTTTATCGGATAAAGTCACCCCTGATTTTTTAGAAACTTGAAGAGTCGGTCGTATAGACTATGTTCCTAGAGATATTTTTACAACATTATTTTGTTTGTATGCATGATGCCTAACGAGTAATTCTGGATGGTTTGTTGGTAGGGTGGGTAGACAAGTTGTGAATATTCCATCTTTCATGGTGAGGGTGGATTCAGCTAAGCACATCGATTTTTCACTCACCAGTCCCTTTGGTGGTGGCCGCCCTGGAAGAGTCAAGCGGAAGAACCAGAGGGCTGCAGCCAAGAAGGCAGCTGGAGGTGATGGGGATGAGGAAGATGAAGATTAATCTCTTCCATTTTTCTCTTTTTTTTTATTAACCAATGGACGAGATACCATTACTTTTTTAAGAAATTAAACTTGAATTTATTAAGCGTTTTTGCAATCTGTTTTCGTTTTGCCGTGAAATGAATTTGGGATTCTTTTAAACTTTTTAATCTTAAAGTACGAATACGTCTGAATGTTTAGATTGCATGAATTTCGATGTTCATGATCAGTGGTACTTCAGCCTTTTTTTTAATAACTGATTCTAATTTTAATGCCTGTGAACCTCTGCTAGTTATATCTATTATATTATATCAGGCACTGCTCAGTTTTCAAATCGTTGCTCTTAAATAGATAGTCTTATTACGAGTTGCAGCATTTTCATTTTTTTTCTCTTTATTTGGTTATTATAACCATATTTTTTAAACTTTTTTTAAGCGCTGGTTAGTTTTCAGAAACAACTCTATGCATTATATATCAAGCTATTATGAGATTTGACTTTATTATTATTAAATACCTTGCACGGGATTTATGTTTTTTGTTTTAACATCAATTTATTAGCTTCAATCGACGAATACATGAGCTCAAATCTCATATTGAGCTTATTTAAACCAAAGACGATTTACACACCACTCAATTATTATTCATTTACATAACTTACACTTAAACCTCAATTTATATATATATATATATATATATATATATATATGGAAAATCTTATTTATTTATGAGAACTGGTATTTCACTTTTTAAAAGTTAAAATAATGATATGTTTTTTGATAAGAAAGATTTGGAAATGCACAAGAAATGAGAGGTATGTGGTTGGTTGATGATGCCAATTTTCAGCAGATCAAGTAATAAAAGAATATCATTCTCTTTAGTAGCTGATTCACTCAATTCTTAAATATTAATTATTCTCATTTAGACTAAAATGTTTTTTGATAACAATTTTTATTCAAAAATTATAATTTTAGAAGTACTTGCTAAATATTGTAAGAATTAAAATATTTGATAAATTTAAAATTATTAAATTTAATATAATGTTGTAACAGCATGACTCATAATAAATAAATAAAAAGATTCATTAATTCTTTTTCTATTTTGTGGCAATTCAATCTTTAAACATATTTTGTATTAGTATATAGCAGGAGACTTTCCGTGCAGCTTACAAGCTTGACAATGTGTGCATCGCGCAAGCTGCATCTCGTAAATTAATACGGAAAAAAACCGACAAGGTATTGATATTTATCAAAACGCATACTAAAATTTGTACTAAAAAAATATGTAATTACGCGTCTAATGTCTTAGTTTATTTATTTATTTAAGTCAACATTTATTGTTTAACTTCATCAAAGTTCATCATAAAAAATGTTTATTAAAACTAAAAAATGGCTAATAATATTTGAATAAAATTTTCATAAGAAAGATTTCAAAATAATTAATTTTTTTTAAACGTAAGTAAAATAATTTTAAATTTATTATAATTATGAAAATAATTTAATAATTTTGGAATTATTTGAATCCCAAAAAATTTTTCCAAAAGAAATATCAAATTGTGCCCTAAGACTTAGTTTTGTAAGAGCATTCGATTTTACTCATTTCTTTTAGCCACCTAAGGCTGTTGACGATCGAATTTCAAGTCGAATTGAGGTCTGTTCAAAATCAACTCGGATAGGCTTAAAGTGTGGCTATTTGATTTCGATCTAAGCCGGCTAGAAATTGAATCAAGCTCGATCTGACTTGAAATCAATACGAGTTAGCTTAAATTGAGTTATTTGGATCTGTTTAGCTCTGAATCGGCTCAATCCGACTCAAAATTGAAACTAACTGCTTAATTTAAGTTATTTGGATCCGTTCCAGCTCGAAATCAACTTGAAATTGGTTCGAAAAAAATTTAATCGATAGTTTTCGACTCACAACTCGACTCGTTCATTACGATCCGACCTTGATACGAGCCAAATTTTGAATTTATTTTCGAGTGATTAACGATCATAGAGTTAAATTCACAGCCCAAAGTACAACTGCCCCTTCAATCTTCTGCTTCCCCGCTCTTCTCCTCAGAAAGCTTCTCTCTACAAGTACTTCTATCCTCACTTCACCTTTTTTATATGTATTTTAATTTTCAGTTTTTTGAAAGTGAATTACATTACTTTTAAGATTTAGGGTTGATAAGTCCTAAGAAACTCCCTTGATCAAGCACTAATCTCGACACACATTGGGACAAAATATTTCAAAAAGTAAATTAAAAATTATACACACTCAAATTTATGTTTAGTGAAATGTCTTAGTCACAAACTATATAACATAAAAATTGATCCTACCTGAGTCAATTGGCCCCAAATCATGCACTTAAAACATAGACAAAAGTTTTGGAAAATACTTTAGGCCTGCAAATCTTCCAAACTTGTAATTAAATCGAGTGTCTCGATGAGTTAAATCCAACGAGCGTAAGATCATTCATTATGATATCATTGAGTAATTAAGGATTCAAATAATCATAAAATTACATCTGAACAAAAGAGTCATTATGGGCAATTCAATGGAATCACTAGAATTCATGCAATATTTCTATTTTGAAGGGTGTTGGACTTGGATAAGAAGATTGAAGGAAGCTCCAAGCGCCTAAGGATTCTCGAGCTCCATCGCTGCCGAACCACTGTCACAGGCCTACGTAGCCACCGAACCACTTTCATTCGATCGACACTGAGCCACCACCACCGTGTTTGGCCATCGACACCGGACCTCCACCATGGTTTCATACCATAGTTGTAGGTCGCCATTATTGCCAGAACATCATCGCCCGGTCTTAGCTTTCGTTGCAGTACACTAGAGTTGTTTGTCACTGGAACACCATCTCACGATCGCTATATGGCCGAACCACCTTCATCGAGTTGCTTCTGTAGCTAGATCAACCTCTTCTGACCATCATCATCAATAGGTTTCCAGCACCGTTATCGGACCACCAATGTCGTCATAAATCACTATCGCCTGGCCACCACCACCGACAAACCACTGTTATCCAGTCGACGCCTTCAGATACCCTTAAAGTTGTTGAACCACCATCACCTATAAAAAGAGGCTATTGTAGCCACTACTGTCATTCTCTAGTTACTTTCTCCGAGCCCTTGTCGTCACTAGACCATTTTCACCACGTCGACGTCACAAAGCCACATCCATTTTTGCTAGACTATTGTAGCTCCACCTACACTGCAGTCGTTGCAACCATCACCACACCACTACTTCCTGCATCGGGCACTTCCTTCACCGGGTCACTATCTTCTTACCCTCATTGTAGTTGGACCTTCATCACCTACTAGCCTTCATATCACAGTCAGGTGGCTAATGACATTTCTACCGCCATCGTTGCTTAACCACTATCACAGTTGCTGTCAGATCACTAGTGTCTGTAGATGCCATTGTCACAGTTAACTCTATTTGTAGAATCACCAACATCATATCACTATCATTTGGCTATCACTACTATTATTATTAGATTATTATTGCCTAGTGACCATCACCATTTGTGCTAATTTATCAAGATCTCTATCTCGCAGCCCTTGTCATCGTTCTTCCATCATTGCAGCGAACTCGCTATCACTTTCTCATATTATGATCCACATACTCAGGAAACACTTGAGTCACATAACACTCTCATAATGGTATATGAGGACTCAGTGCTTCAACTCTTTTTGCAGATAAATCCATATTGAAGTCCAAAAGGCTTCTTCGAAACATCATGACCTTCATGAGTTTTGTCCTTGGATTCCATAAAAAGGAATTAAATAAACTCAGATGATTAATCCACAACAGAAGCAATAACTATCATGTTCGGATCTCAAATTACTGAATTGCGGTAAAGGAAGACGATGATTCGAGATTGAAACCCTAGAGGGGAGAACACAAACTAATTTCTTGCAGGGCTCTGAGAAGAACTAATAATTCTTGGTGTTTCATGAAGATTGGAGAAGATGCTTGTAGTACTATGGAAGATGATGATAGAAATAAGAGTAAATCAACAAGAGCAACAATTGATTCGAACTCATTTCTTGAACAGTTATATTCAACAATTAGAGGTGGACAACTCCAAAACATTGGTGGGAGAGGAATAGAGAAGAGAAAGCCGAGTAAAATGAAAGACAATTCAAAGATAACAACTCTAGAAAATTAGGATGGGAGAAGAACGAGTAACTAGTTTCATTAATTCTAATTAACTAATTAACCATACTTATGAACTTAATACAATAACCATCTATCTCATATTATCCTATCGGCCACACATTTTTTTTCTTAATTTTATTTTTAGAGGGGAAGATTTTAAGAGATTTGACCCGCAACCGTGTGTTAAAGGCCAAGATTTTATAATTTATTTTAAAATCTTAGCCATTCATCAAATTCTCTGTAAAATATTAAAGGAAAATTTACTAAAATAGCACATAATTCTTATGTATTTTCATATCTGGCACCTAGCTCAAATGAATCGCCTACTTTACAGCATAGTAAAGGACAAAAACAATAAAATGGGGGACATTTTTGTACAGAACATTAAATTCTTGGCCATCATAAAATTCTCAGTAAAATATCTAAATTTTCACAATATTACTTTTAATCTATATAATATTTTTATTATAAATGAACAAACTTACAAAGATATGTATTTATTAGATTTTTGCATCATTATTATTTTGAGTGAGTGATCATTTTATAAATAAGATAAGTTTAATGGTTTTTAGCTAAAAAAATTATATAACAGTTGTACTTATTACCGTCTGAAATTAGGATTGGATTCGGGACAAGATGGTTAATATGTGGTGGGAGTAGGGGTGTAAACGTATCGAACACAGGCGAGCCCAGGCTCAGGTCGTTTAAATTTCGAGCTTAAAAAATGAGTTTGTGTTCGGATTGTTTGTTTAGCAAGCCGAACACGAGCTGTTCACGAATAAAGAGTTGTTTTGTCAACCCTAATCACGTAGTCATAAGGTGTTAAGGGTTGAGACAAGATTTAAAAATTATTGTTTATATTAAAACATCATTTGAATCTAATTTAATAATATTTATTATATTTTCTTAATTAATATTTTTATTTGATTATATATTTTTATAGCCTTGCACCCAATTATAATATATATATATATAT